GTAAATATTAAGGAATCTAGTTCTTTGATATTTGAATTCATGCTTAAAAATCTTAATATTCCATTTATAAATCTATAGATTTTTATCATTTTCTATTAAAGATGTTTAACAAATATTTGATCTGATTTATAAACTTGGCAATTAAATCCTTTTAAACTACATTTGAATATGGTATACACTTTTTTTTTAAGCATCTCAACTTTCTGACTTAATAAAGTCTCCACAGGTTTTAAAAACAGCCTCTATAATATAAAGAGAAGAAACAAAAATTATAAATATAACTAATCCCAAATCCTTTCAAATGTTTCCATACTGTGATAGACATGGTAAAATTTCCGTTTTAAATAACAAACCGAAAATTTTGAATTTTATTAACTATAAATTTTATTTCAATGAAGTTGACTTTTAAAAAGTATAAATTAGGGTGCCTGGGTAGCTCAGTTGGTTAAGCAACTGCCTTTGGCTCAGGTCATGATCCTGGAGACCCGGGATCGAGTCCCGCATCGGGCTCCCAGCTCCATGGGGAGTCTGCTTCTCCCTCTGACCTTCTCCTCTCTCATGCTCTCTCTCATTGTCTCTCTCTAAAATAAATAAACAAAATATTTTTTTTAAAGTATAAATTATTTGCCATATTACAAATATAAAGTTGGCATTACAAGTTATATTTGGTGTTCTAAAAGGTCAAACTGTCTTGAATAATGGGACTACATAAAATATATACATATAAATTTCTTAGAACGAAATACAAATAATAGGTTTTGATTCTCTTACCTATTTCTGTAGTTAGCTCTAAAATCTTGCTGAGTTTAAAAGATGCTAAACCACTACAGAAGTTATTATGTGACCTACTTCTGGAACAAATAATTTACTGAGGCTACTAAGTCAAGCACTGTTTCTGGTGCTTGGGATACAATTGAGAAAAATTCCCTGACTTTATGTAGCTAACACTATGTTGAGGGGAGATATTGTTTAAAATACATATTCACGATAAACCAGAAAACTAACAAATTATAAGAAACTGTGTTCTGTGGGAAATAGAAGAGAAAATGTTTCAGGAAAAGAGGGTTTGGGGTGAGTAAGGAGATCACTATTTTAAGTTGAGTGGTCGTGTTGGTCCTCACTTAGAAGGTCACATTTGGACAAGGACTTAGTCATACAGATATGTGGAGGGACAACAGTCCTGGCAGCATTATCTTTCGCTACAGAGAAAAACATCCCCAAAATTAGCAACTTGAGACAGAAACTATTTGTCTGCTAATTTGTGGGTTGACAGGTTGGGCTGGAACCAAAGAGGTGATTCTTCTTGTCCTGGTCCGTTCGTGTATCCAGGGTCCACAGCTGGCTGAACCAGGGTGGCAGTAGGTAAGACATCTGTGCTCTCTTCCCTCTGTCGCTTCCCCTTCCACAGGCTGGTCTGTCTTGTTCACACAGTGGCTGGTATGGGCATTGACACTAAGCATCTAGCCTCAGTATCTAGGGCTTCCTGAGCACTAGGCTCAGAACTGGCACATGACGTCTTGCATGACATCTTGCATGACACATGACATCTGTTGCATTCAGAGGCTAAATCATATCACAAGAGGGACTCAGAGGAGGGAATGAGACTTCACCTCTTGATGGTAAAAGCTGTCAAATCACCTTGTAAGGGGCTGGGATGCAGAGAGGCGTTAGGATTGTGCCATTTCCTTCGCAATATAGAGATTATTGGTGTCCTCACATTGTGCTGAAATCTTCGGTGGAACCACGGGAACTAAACACGTGTATGGGCTCAAAGAGTTGGGTAATGAACGGTCTGTATTTGGAACTGGTGGTAAAGGAGTATCTTCAGCAAAGTAAACAAAACTTCCATAGCCCTGCCTCTAACATAGTCAACAAAGTTATTGCAATGGAAATTGTGTTTCGGGAAACTCAACAGACCTTGAAAAACACCACCATCTTTTCAGAGAGTAGAGAAGGAAAAAAAAAAAAAAAAACTATTCAAAACTAGGACACACTGAGAGAACCATAGAACTCATGAGTAAGACTAAAGCACCCTGCACCACAGAGACCAGGACAGACTGTTGTAGAAGGGGAAGAGAAGTGGTTATAAGTTGACCCATCACCCTTCATCCAGGCCAACACATGGAGAGGTTTCCCCTGAGCCTCGGGTTCCTCAAGTGTGAAAAAAGAACCTGGGTTAGGGGAGGGAGAGACCCAACCAGCAAAAGAAACCATCAACAAAGTGAAAAGATAACCTATGGAATGGGGAAAAAAATTGCAAACCATATATACGATAAGGTGGATATTATATCCAATATAATTACATTATATATATTTGGATATTATATCTAAAGTATATAAAGAACTCATCCAACTGAAGAACAAATCCACAACCCAATTAAATGAATAAAGGACCTAAATAAATATTTCTCCAAAGAAGATACATGGAAGGCCACCAGACACATGAAAAGGGGTTCAACATCACTAGTCATTAGGAAAATACTCATCAAAATCACAATAAGCTATAATCTCACACCTGTTAGAACATTCCTGATCAAAAAGACAAGAGATAACAAGTGTTAGCAAGGTTTGGAAAAAAAGAGATCTTTTGTACCCTGTTGGTGGGAATGTAAATTGGTGCAACCACTGTGCAAAACAGTATGGAGTTTCCTCAAAAAATTTAAAAATAGAAACACCATATGATTCAGCAACTCCACTTCTGAGAATATATCCAAAGAAAATGAAAACACCAACTCGAAAATATATCTTCACTCCCATGTTCACAGCCATTTTATTTACAATAGCCAACCCATGGGAACAACTTAAGGGTCCATCAATGGAAGTATGAATAAGGAAAATGTAATATGTATAAAATATTCCACTGTATATGTATACAATATTCTACTACATACATATATATGTATACATACACATACACATACATACGTACATATATATGTATATGTAATAGTCCACCAGAACTAGATCTAGAGGTCTAAGTCTAGAGCTATATATCTAGGGGAATATTATTCAGCCATAAAAAAGGAAATTCTGCCATTTGCCACAACATGGAAGGACCTTGAGGACATTATTCTAAGTGAAATAAGTCAAACAGAGAAAGACAAATACTGTATGATCTCACTTATATGTGGAATTTTAAAAAGTAAAACTCATAGAAAAAGATCTGACTCCAGTAGAGGCGGTGGGGAGGGCAGGGGGAACTGAAGGAAAGTGGTCAAAATGTACAAACTTTCAGTTATAACATAAATAAGTCCTAGAGATATAATGACATAATGATCAGAGCTAATGCTGTTGTATGGTATATAGGGAAGTTGTTAAGAGAGGAAATTATAAGCCTTCTCATCGCAAAGGGAAATTTTTTTCCTTTTTTCCTTTTTTCTTTGCATTATATCAACATGGGAAGGTGGATGTTAGCTGAAACTATTATAATCATTTCACAATAGATGTAAATCATGCTGTATGTCTATACAGTGATGAATGTCATTTTTTCCTAAAAACTTGAAAAAAATAATATGTATTTATTTAATCTATTTATTCTCAGCAAATTTTCCAAAGGGGACTCATACTTTAAAAGGACTCTTAGAGTTCCTCTCACTAAGGAGAGCTAATGAGGAAAGATTAGAGAAGCTTCCATTAATTAATCTGTAGGGAAATGGAAATGATATTTCTCTCTGGTCATTAGGGAAATCTCCAGTAGAGAAATCTTCCCAAGAAGGCTTTAGGAACAGGCACAATGGTCCACCTGATAAACTGAAGGGGCTTTAGCTGCATAAACCCAGGGAAAGGATCCCCTTTGTCTCAGCAGGAGGTAAAAGGAGAAGACTCATGAGTCCAAGATGTAACCTTGTGTTGTGTAGAGGAAAAGGACACTCAGCTTGGGCTTCTACTGACTTAAATGACGGTATCTGCAGGCATGTTCAAGATTGCGTGGGTGGCTGAGTGGAATTAGGCTCAGGAGGAGGAGAGACACTTGTGGGATTAAAAATTAGTGATGACGTTATGTTTTTTTCTGGGGTGTGATGATGGAATCATAAGACTTTCCCCCTAATAATCATACTGTTCCTCTGCTTTCACAGCCTCAGAGTTTCTCTAAATTAATTCTGATCCAGGAGGACACCATTTTACATACTGGTCTCTGTTGCTAGTCATGTGGATATAAACCAAATAGGGTCATGAGTAAAGAGGTCAGATACATCTGAAGAGCCTATTCCTGAAAACCTTATTCCAAGGAATTGAGTCAAATTGAGCATGGTCTGTACGCCCCAGACCTATTTTTATTCACTTTCCTTTCTCCAAGTGGGACTGGGTCAGCTCGTTTTTCTCCTTCCAGTCTCCAATGGATAAATTTTGAATTGACACATTAATTTCTGTAGAGTAGGACATTGATTTTGCTTAAATATAAGCATCCCAGATTCTATTAAAAGATTAACATCACTCACTTAGGGGAAATAGAAGTGCCAGAAACACGGTAAGACAATAACTCTGACTGCCTTTGGGGTCCAAAATACCTCAGTTCTAAGGTGATAGTTGTAGACATCTTCACACCGATTTGCAGATGCTCTGCCCCTTCCCTCAATCTCGTTGCGTGTGTCAGGGGTTCAGCTGAGCTAAGAGAGAATGGAACAGGCAAGTGTCAGAGTAGGGGATTCAAAAAACCCTGAGCCCAAATCAAAGTAACCATGAAGCTTTAGATCAATAGTGTGAGCAAAAGGTGGAAAGCAGAGAAAGTGCCTCCTCCAGCCCCTGTCATATACCCTGAGAAAACGAGCATGGATCAAGTGTCAGGGGCATCAGTGCAAACATGAGCATCATTCCACTGTTGACAGAGCCCTGAACAAAAGGCTCCACCAGTTTTATGGACTCTGGGATGGAGAGGAGGATACAGAGTGACCCTGGGGTTTCTCTCTCTCATCCCCTAAAGAAGCCTGGGAAGGAGTGCCTGAAGAGGACCTTGACCCAAGGCTGCAAACAGAGATGTAAGGGTGTAATTGCTAGGGTAAATGGTGACATGCAAGGGGTACAAGCGGCCAGAGGACCCCAGTCCTTGCTGCGATTCTCTTAGAGATTATGGTGCATGGGCTGCCACCAAGTGCTGGGGGGTGGCTTTCCCTGGGATCCTGAACAGGAAAGCCTTTGTAATCACCTGCAGTCAGGTCTGAAAACCACACAGGGTTCACCTCGGCTCCTCAGTGCATGTGCATTTTTGAGGTGGAGGGTAGAGTAGGCGAGATTTCCTGTTCCCTTATTATTTTATTACTGTGTCTTGGACTCTCAAGTCCTTTATTCAAAAACTTTTGCATAACTTAAAATACCATCCCTTTGTCAATCACAATTTGATTCCATCCACCTGGGGCTTGGGTCAGCCTAACATTTCTGTGAATTTCAGGTCAGCCCTGGTCTTCCATCCTTTCCTGGGTTTCTCCAAGCCCCTCCATTCAACTGTTCTAAGCTTTGCAGAGTCCAGAAGACCAGGAAGGGCAAGTCTGTTCCAGTGGACTCCCATCGGCCCACACTGCTCTCTTGATCTGCTTGGAGTTGGGTTTGGGAGGAGTGGAGTGATGAGTCAAAGTTACCACTAATGATCTCTCTACAGATATAGGTTACTACCACATTCCATCTACCTGGGACTGACGTTTTCTCGGGCACAAAATACTTTTCTTAAACTCTTCTGGCCTCTGCCTATTGCCCGGTTCCAAGACTGCTTCCACATTTTTAGGTATTCATTAGAGCAGTATCCCTCCTTCTTGGTATCAATTTCTGTCTTAATTGGTTCAGGCTGCTGTAACAGAAGTACCAGAGATGGGGTGACTTACGCAAGACACAGTTATATGTAGCACCTCTGCAGCCCGGAACTCTGAAGCCCAGGTCAGAAAGACTTGCTGTCTGCTTTGTAGATGACTGCTTCTCTCTGTATCTGCACCTGCAGACAGCAGATAGAAGATGTTCTCTCCAGACGCTTAGAAGGGAACTAATGCCACTCATGAGCTCATCTAGTTCTTACTAACTTTCCAAAGCCCCATCTCCTAGTACTATCACTTTGGGAAGTGAGGTTTCAGCACAAGAATGAGAGGGGCAGGGACCAAAAACATTCAGTCCACAATAGTCATATAAATGGAATCGTGCAATATGCAGACTTCGGCTTTTTTCTCTTATCACCATGCATTGGAGATTAATCTGCGTTGTGTGCATGTTAATCATTTTCATTGCTAAGGGGTAGTTCATTGCATGGATGTACCAAGTTTGTGTATCCCTTTACCAGTTAGAGACCATTAGGGTTGCTTACAGTTTTATAAATAAAGCCTCGATAAATATTTGCTTACAGGTGTTGGTGTGATCATAAACTTCCATTTTTTTCCAAGCTTCTATTTAAACTCTAATTAGCTAACATGTATGCTAAAATAGGTTTCAAGTGTAGAATTTAGTGATATAAACAAGCTTTCATTTCTTTTGGGTTAATACTTAGGAGTGGAGTTGTCGGGTGACATGTTGAATGTATGTTTGACTTTATAGGAAACTGCTGAAATCAACCCTCTTGTCCGCACCATTTCGCATTCCTACCAGTGCTATCTGAGAAATCCAGTCGCTCTATGTTTCCCCTAGCCTGTGGCATCACCAGCTGTTTTGTTTTTAAAAAATGTGATTGTTCTTATAGATGTGTTATGGTGATGTGTCTCACTGTGGCTTTAAGAGTTTTTGAGTTTTCATGTATTCTGGATATGTCTTATGTTGGATACATGTCTCACAAACACTTTCTCCCAGAATGGCTTTTCTTTTCATTCCCTTAATAGTGTGGTTTGCAGAGCAATCAATTTTGGTGAAACTCAATTTGTCACTTTTTTTTTTCTTCTTTTACGTACTGTGCTTTTGATGTTCTGGCATATACATTTTTGTTGAACCAAAGGTCATAAAGATGTTCTCTTCTAGTTTCTGGGAGATATTTTATGGTTTTTGGTTTTACATTTAGTTCTATGATCCATTTTGTGTTAATTCTTGTATATGATGCAAAACTTTTTTTTTAGCACATTTGTTTCTAGTTTTTCCGGTACAACTTGCCAAAAATGCTTTTTTTCCTCTCTGGCTTGGCCATTTGTATGAATGTCTATTTTTATACTCTATTTAGTTCCATTGATCAGTGTGCCTAGTCTCTTGACAATACTACACTATCTTGATTTTTTTTAGCATTATAGTGAATCTGGAAATGTTATCAGCAGTTTTGTCCTCCAGGTTTGTTCTCTTTTTTCACAATGTTTCCCTAGTCCCTGTCTTTTCATATATATTTTAGAATTAGCTTCTTAATATCTATAAAAAACACTCTATTTGGATTTTAAGTGAGATTACATTGAATGAATCTATATATTCTATATAATGTATACATTCTTATAAATGAATATTCATGTACCAGACGCTCTGTAACTGCAGAAAAATTAATGATAATTGATAACTATAGAAAAACACTTAACATAATATTTTATGAAACCTGAGGGATTTACACGCATACGTGTAAGCAACATTTCCTAATTTTCTGTGGGCACTTGGTTTTCTAGAAGCTGCAACCGATATTTGTCAAATCTAGTTCTATATAAAGCAGTTCTTAAAAGATCTTTTTCAAAAATATATATATTCAATTTTGTAATGAGATCTCTGAAAAACATCTCAGAATGAGCCAAATATTTTTTTCTTTGGGTTCATCTATGTTTCAAATGCCTCATGTTAATTTGGAATTTCAAATGCCACTCTTCAGTAAAGTTGTAAGCTTTACATTGATTCTGCTTATGGGTAATTTTTCAAATAGTATCAGCTCGGGGGAACTATTTGGCTGTCTTCCCAGGGAATATTGGCATACAGCATAATCAAGTGTTCTAATTTAATCATATGAGGAGCTCATTTTTAAATGGCTCCATATTATCTCAAAAGAGAAGTTATCTTTCAACTTCCTTGGTGTTCTCAACATTTCCCTTCGACTGATTTTCTATCTCTGATAGACCAGGTTTCTGAATTGCCAGGGGAGGAAGAGTCCCAGGTACACCTGATGAGTTTCCTTGTACTGACTTAAGACACCTCTTCATACTTCCTGACACTTTCAAGGGATGTAAATTGTCCTGGACTCTCACATTTTGGCCCCCACTTTCTCATTTTTTGATGGCCTTTGTTAAGGTATAAATGATCTGTGTGGGAAGACTTAGCTATCTCCGTAAGACACTGCTTCTTTTCAATATCTCTGATGGACTGACATTTAGAAGTCTCAAAGAGTTCAAGAAGCAGGTTCTAAAGAGGGAACTCCAAGTTCACCCACTGAGCTTTCTTTCTTCTTCTGGAACACTAAAGCTCAGTTCCTCCCAGCTCTTCCCTCTGTGCTGGCCAGTCTCCATGAGCTTTAACTTTTCTGTTGCTGGAAATAATTTCCTACCATAGCTTTACCTCGATATATTTGCCTAAAAAGCTTTCCCTCTTCTCTAACCACACTGTGCTCTGAAAAAGGAGCAGAATAGTGAAAATGGGATTTTTCAGAAAGTGCAGCATATAAGTTTGCAATGTCTAATCCATAGTCAGGAAACATTAGAGAATTTAACTAGTATGATTCACAATAATTTAGGGGAATTTTTATAAAAGGTGATTACTTTTAGTATCCCTAATATTCTACTTTATTTTAGTTAGTGTAGCTTATAAACATGACATTGTTAATATCTTATTTATTATTATTTGCCTCCTACATTGGAATATCAGCTCCATGAATACAGAGTGCTTTCTTCACTACCAAATTAAAATGCAAGTGTACAGTTGTATTTGACATGTAATAGAGACTAAATGGATATCTGCTTAATTAATCCAAGAATGATGGAGATAGATCATCTACCTAAAGCATTTCTTCCTTTGACTCTTACATGAGCCAAAAGATCTAACTCTTTATGTTTCATCTAGGGAGGGAGCTGTGTCTTTCTATCAATGACAATTAAAGCCACTGAGATCATGGTAACAACTAACCGAACCTCGACAGTGACAGAGTTTCTCTTCTCTGGATTCCCTCAGTTTGAAGATGGTAGCCTCCTCCTCTTCATTCCTCTATTCATCATCTACACATTTATTGTTATCGGGAATCTCACCGTATTTTTTGCAGTAAGGATGGACACCCGTCTCCACAACCCCATGTACAATTTCATCAGTGTCTTCTCATTTCTGGAGATCTGGTACACCACAGCCACCATTCCCAAGATGCTCTCCAATCTCATCAGTGAGAAGAAGACCATTTCCATTACTGGCTGCCTCTTGCAGATGTACTTCTTCCATTCACTTGGAAATTCGGAGGGCATCTTGTTGACCACCATGGCCATTGACAGGTATGTAGCCATCTGCCACCCTCTCCGTTACCCGACCATTATGACCCCCCAGCTCTGTGCTCAGCTCTCTGCAGGCTCTTGCATCTTTGGCTTTCTTGTGTTGCTCCCAGAGATTGTGTGGATTTCCACACTGCCCTTCTGTGGACCAAACCAGATCCATCAGATATTCTGTGACTTTGAGCCTGTGCTGCACTTGGCCTGTACAGACACGTCAGTGATTCTGATTGAGGATGTGATCCATGCTGTGGCCATCATCTTTGCTGTCCTGATTATTGCTCTCTCCTATATCAGAATCATCACTGTGATCCTGAAGATCCCTTCTGTTGAAGGCCGCCAAAAGGCCTTTTCCACCTGTGTGTCTCACCTTGGTGTCTTTCTGATGTTCTACGGCAGCGTGTCCCTCATGTACCTGCGATTTACTGCCACTTTCCCACCCACTTTGGACACAGTTATTGCACTGATGTTTGCCGTTCTTGCACCCTTTTTCAACCCTATCATCTACAGCTTGAGAAACAAGGATATGAAGGCTGCAATCAAGAAGCTTCTTTGTGCTGGGTCGCCCGGGTGGCTCAGTCGGTTAAACACCTGCCTTTGGCTCAGGTCATGATCCCAGGTCCTGGGTCAAACTCCAAATCAGGTTTCCTGCTCAGTGGGAAGTCTGCTTTTTTCCTCTCCCTCTGCCCACCCCACTCATTCTCTCTCTCTTGCTACTCTCTCTTTTTCTCAAATAAATATATAATATCTTTTTTTTTTTAAAGAATCTTCTCTGCCTTCAGAAAGTGTTCAATGCATCTGCAAGTTGATGCTAGCTATCTCTTAGCCCCTCTCACTTTGAATGTTATCCTGACATACTAAACCATAAAACTAACGTGTAGGGGCGCCTGGGTGGCTCAGTGGGTTAAGCCTCTGCCTTTGGCTCAGGTCATGATCTCAGGGTCCTGGGATCGAGCCCCACATCGGGCTCTCTGCTCAGCAGGGATCCTGCTTCCCCTCCCGCCCCCATTTCTCTGTGATCTCTCTCTCTCTCTGTCAAATAAATACAATCTTAAAAAAAAAACTAACATATAATTCATCCATTGACACACTGATAGCTTCCATTTATTTCATTTCACACATTTATTCTATTTATACACATTTAATGTATCAGATTCACAAAGATTAATAGATAAGAGAAAGGAAATACGATGTTTAAGCCATTAAAATAGATTTTGAGACGTTAATTTTATTGTTACTATGTAAGTATTATTATTATTATTACTATTATTCCAAAGGCATTAGTAACAACTACAGATTACAAAATAGAATGGTTAAGAGTGTAAGATCTGTACAGGAGGTGAAGGTTCATACTTTACTACATACAAGCATTGTGACCTGAAACATGAACCAACTCTGGGAAGTGCTGGGTACATCTGTTACCTCACTGTGGTGATTATGTATGGTGTTTGTGTGTGTTCACATTCATCACATTGTATACATTACATATGGTCTCTGGATACAGATTATATCTCAATAAAGTTGTTCAAATGAAATAGACCAGTTCACACTATGCTATATCATCAGAAATACAATTTTGCCAGTTAAATTTTTTTCAGATCCCTCATGTGATTTTTTTCTATCTTTAACTTGAGTATAGTTGGCACACAATGTTACATTAGTTTCAGGTATACAATATAGTGATTCAGCTTCTCTATATGGCCACAAGTGTGGCTACCATCTGTCACCACACAACACTATCACAACATCACTATGTTCCCTATACTGTGCCTTTTATTCCCATGGCTTATTATTATTTTTGAATTTCAAGGAAAAATATTATAAGAAGTTAGACAAGGAAAATAGGCCCCCAAGTCACAGGAAGAGATGTTAGACAAAACTCAAAAGAGAAAGAAAGTATGTGTTCTCATCAAAAATCCCATACATATTTCCAAGAAGATTACATAATAAAAGCTAATAGATTGTACAGAAGAAGAAGAAGGGGGAGTGGTGAGAAGGAAAGGGGAAGAGGGAGGAGGATGAGGAGGAAGGAGAGGAGGAGGGGAAGAAATTTGGGTTTTCAACAGAACACAGAGCAGTGGATTGAGCGTATGGAGCACAGAATAATCCCATGAAAAAAGGTGAGACATTGTCAACAGAAAGGTGAGCAGGACCAACATAAATTGTTCAGGGTCAGAGAGATCCACATTCATTTGCAGCAGGAGAAAAAAATGACATTTTCCCCTCACGTCAATACTGGCACAGACCCCAATGACATGCCTGTTAGGAAATGATTTTATTTTCTATTAAATATTATTTCAAGCTTTTTTTCTGGTTTCAGTATATTCCCTCCAAGACTTTCCGCACGTGTTTGTTCATGTGAGAAGAGCAGGACCAACACAAACACACTCTTTGCATGACGCCCTGATAGACGCACGTACCTGGAGAAAGTGGTTCGTCACGTTCAGAGCAATAAGTACAGTCAGGAAAAAATACTTGGTGACAACTTTGATCTTAAAATCTAATGAGACAAGAGTACAGAGAGGATCTTTCTGCTAATTAACCCCACAAGGGAAAGTGATGCTCTCCACTGTGATGCAGGGCAGGAATTCCTATGACACCCACTTCCCCTTCCTGTTCTTCCCTGGGATGCCTTTAAAAAAAATTATATATATATATATGTGTGTGTGTGTGTGTGTGTGTGTGTGTGTGTTGTGTTATAAAATATATTATATTATGTGTGGGTTATAAAATATATTGTATTATATTATATTATGTTATATTAATTATATTATTTGTATAATATATACAACATCTGGAGGAATATCAAGGATCCAGAGACACAGACAGACAGAGCAGTCCCTGTGGTCTTAGGTAGAGGTGAGTACAGATGGATGTCTTGAGAAAGAATTCACTTAGCATGCATAAGAATAAGAACATCATAACCTGAAGACTCAGAAGCTTCGACTGTTGGTGGAGGGCAGTGACAAGTGTAGGGGGAGCCTGTGCTGGGCACAGGTATATATGAAACAAGATACTCCATTATGATGCCATCTTTCAAGAGGTCATTTTTTCCAGACTTGATTAGGATTGTCACTCAAAGTAAATTGTCACACTTCCTTTTCAGACAGTCCCTAATTATCTTTGTTCATGTGTCCCCACAGCTATCTCGTGGGCTAAATTATAATTTTACCCAGTCTCTTGCCTCCAAGTTAATTTATTTGATACCAGCCATTTTTTACATGTCAACCCTGTTCTAGTTTACTGCCCTGAAGGAGGAGCCTGGTCTAGAGAAGGAAAAACAAGCCACTGATGATTATTATGATACATGACACATACACTGCAGAAACCCCAGAGTACTAGTGCCCAACATTCTGGAGTGCTTACTATATTCCTGGCACTACTCTAAAGCACTGAAAATATGTTTACACATATTGGTGGGGGCAGTCAAGTGTCTGGGCTGGAGTCACTGGAGAATGAGTGCATGGGTTTGTATTCTGACTTCGGTTGAGACTCTCTGGGCAGTGTTTCTTCTGTAAAATGAGGATTATCTTACTTCACTAGAGACTCAGTAAGAAATACAGCTTATGCTTGAGGCAGTGCTTGCCACAGAATGTGACTCCATACCCCACCACACTACGCAGTACTCTTACTGCTATTAAAAGTGTCTACCTATTCCTGAAGCCTTGTGTGCCAGTATTAGCATTTTCTGCATCCTACAGAAGAAGAATTAAAGGCATAGAAAGGCTAAATGACTTGAGATAGGTGGGGGGTTGTCAGCAGTGGAGAGAACCTATTTCCAATATGCAGACTTTTGACCGGTATTATGCATTGCTTTTGTGCCAGGAGAGCGGCAGGGTGAGGAGTGGTGGAGCGGCGGGTACCTCACAGTCAGAGGACATGATAGACTCAGGAGACTGTGGTGATCCCGCAAAGTGGTGTGCATGAGGGAAGAACATTGGGATGCTAGGAGAAGCTGAGGTGAATTCTGAGTCAGATGTGTGGATTTGGAGCTCATGGACCCACTGCAGAAAAACACCTGAAGTAGTAATAGTTGAGATCTTGTACGTGGACGAGATCACCGCAGGAGCAAACGCAATTATGGAGAGCAGAGAGCGGGAGGGAAATGGGCACCTGGGGAAGAGTTTAAGAAAAGCGGCCGTGTTAATAGGAGAGAGACGAGCAGAAGTAAGAGTAAGGATGACAGAACAAATATAACTAATAGAACAAAAGAAAAGGCCCAGACCAGAACCACCTCTGAGAGCCACTGAGCATGTGTACTGCAGCCCCTAACATTTATTTTTTTGCATGCCCCTTACTCTTAGGGATGGAATCACAGCAGTGGAAGAGGAAAACCTCGGGTAGCAGTGATGGGTGGTGCCAGGGCTAGAGGACTGCAGAGTCCCCATTACCACAGGCAGACAGGGCATTGCTAAGCTTGGAGGGAAGACCTTCAGGGCAGAAGCTTCCATCAGTGTTGTGGGAACATGAGAGGTACGGGGAGCTGGGTTTTACCAGCCTTTCAAGAAGTTGCTTATGTCCTGTGCAGATATTTACTTAATCTTCAGGTTCCCTCTTAGATAGGTACTATTTTTAACCTCATTTTTGCAAATGAGTACTTGAGCCTGAAAGATTAAGTAATTTGCCAAAAGACATGTAGATAGTAAGAGATTCAGTCGGGGTTTCAGAGCAGACCCCGGGCCTATGTTCTAATCCCCTAGAACAGAAATCTCCACAGAGGAATATGCAAGATGATCCAATGGGATGGAAAGAAAAACAAATAATACATAATACAACTTCTAGTATGTTTGTTTGTTCGTTTTTGTGCCCCTTACTTCTAAAATTATATATATATATATAATTATTCGATCTGAATTATTATATCTGAATTATTCGATAATAATATAGTAACTGTGTGCACCTTATAGATGCAAATAGTTGTATTACCGGTTAAGCTGAACATAATTGCACCATTAAACACTTTTGAAAACACCTGTTTCCGCGATCGTGCCTCTGAAGAAGTGAGAAAGCATGTCAAATACAAATGCACAAGAGTGTGACATTAGGAGAAAATAAAACCTTCAAGTAATTTCTTGTTATTCATTGGAGTTATCTAGCTGTACACCCCCCTTTCTTCTGCACCTCCCCGGGAGCTGGTGTGTGCCCTCTCCTTCACTCACAAGGAGCTCTGCTGCGGATATGGAGAGTGCAAACCTGTCGGCAGAGGCAGAATTTATCTTCACTGGCTTCCCCCAGCTCCAGGATGATGGCCTCCTGTTCTCCTTTCTCTTACTCTTCATCTACACCTTTATTGTCATTGGGAATCTACTGATCTTCTTTGCTGCGAGGCTGGACACCCATCTCCATGATCCCATGTACAATCTCATCAGCATCTTCTCCTTCTGGAAGGTCTGGTGCACCGCAGCCACCATTAGTGAGAAGAAGACGATCTCCATTACTGGCTGCCTCTTGCAGATGTATTTCTTCCATGCATTTGGAAATTTGGAGGGAATTTTGTTGATCACCATGGCCATTGACTGGTACATTGCCATCTGCAACCCTCTCTTACCAGGTGATCATGACCACCTGGCTCTGTACCCAGCTCTCTGCAAGCTCCTGCATCTTCAGATCCCTCATCCTACTTCCTGAGATTGTGTGGGTTTCCACACTGCCCTTCCTCCACACTGCCCGACCAGATCTGTCAAATCTTCTCGACCTGGTCCCCATGCTGAGGCTGGCTTATACTGACACGTCCATGATTCTGGTTGAGGATATGATCCATGCTGTGGCCATCATCACCACCGTCCTAATCATCGTCCTGCTCTGTATCAGAACCATCACTGTGATCTTGAGGATCCCCTCCGCTGAGGGTCGGCAAAAGGTCTTTTCGACCTGTGTGGGCCATCTCGCTGTCTTCCTGATTTTCTTCGGCACCGTGTCCCTCCTGTACTTGAGCTTCAACAGCACCCAACCCCCAGCTTGGACAAAGCCATCGCACTGATGTCTATTATTCTTCCCCCATTCTTCAATACCATCACTTACAGTCTGAGAAACAGGAACATGAAGAATGCAATTTGAAGACTCTCCCATCTTTGGAAAACCTTGAGCACATCTGGAGGTTAATTCTGAGCTGCAGGTCCCCTCCCACGGTTCTCTGTGTCTCTAACAGATTGAAGAATAAAACTACTCTATGCCTATTTCTTTGTCACTGAGCTTTCTGTCTGTTCTCCTGATTACTTTCCCTTCTTTCTAGGAAAACACATTTGTACTCTGTCATAGCTATAGCACCTGATGTATATACGGTCAAGATTTTTTTATTATGGGGTTGAAGACTGCTTATTTTCTTCTGACGTGTTGTAATTAAAGGCAAACTCACTCACCACTTCAGAAGCTGGCCACGTGCTTCAGGTGATAGATCTCAGGCAACTTTTTTATTTCATTACGGATCAGGATTATGTGATAAGATTTGTCAGAAGCAGATATCTTATAAAAAGCAAAAATGGTACTTAAGGAGATAAATTATACTTTTATTTTTAGTAATGTATTTTGATCTTCATTAGAATAATAAGTATATACATTTAGTAAGACTAAATTATTACTATTGCCAGACCAGTTCATAAAGAATGCACAGTGTGGGGCACTATTTACATCAACACACTTCAGTGCACACAGATACACACAGATAAGGATCTTAGTCATTGCTTGCCTCCCAGGGGTAAGCATCTTTATTTTCTTTATCAGAAAAGTCTTCTGTGCATCCATAAAATGGCAGCTTTAATTAAAATATGATTCATTTGACTTCTTAACAGAAAGCTCTGAAAATTTTCCTTGTTATATCCTTATTGCCTTAAGTTTCTATCATCATTTATGCACAATCATTTTAATTATCTTTATAAAATGCAAGTAAAAATTTTGGTATGAAAATAGTAATATATCCTCCATGTTTAAATTTTCTCCCTCAACTGTCTAACAAAATGATGAAAACCAAGTTCATACTAATTTCTTTAGATACCCTAAACACAAAAGACACACAGAACACAAAACCATACTTCCCAGCAGACATCACACTCAAAGCTCAAAAAACAGAAAAAACCAAACCAACCAACCAACCAAACAAACAAACAAACAAACAAAAATTGGTGGAAACAAGGAAAGGCGACTTCAATAGACAAAATGTAAAGTCATACTATATATGAAACAAAATTTAAGGGAGTTCAATACAGGCAAGAGAAGGGCTTAGCTGGGAAATATTTTGAAGTAGTCTTTCTGATAAGTGTTGGAAATTCCAAACAGAACTTGGATTTTGATAGATATAAGTTGGAGCCTGTAGATACACGTTTATTAATGGATATCGATGTTTCTCTTCATCAAATGGTGGGTTTAAAACCTTGTCCCTGTTCTTCAGTGGATGGCATGTTAAGTAAAGTTGGGACATCTTTGCCTCAAAAGTCTGAGTTTAGGATGCCACAGTCAACAAAGAAAAGGGCCCATTAGTGACTACCTGTAAAAGATTTTGGTCTACAGCTACATCTGCCATAAGAATTAGAGTTCTGAGTCCTACCAAGAAAACCATTAAAATGAAAGGGCCACTATAACAGGCCGCTGGGCGTGGAGAGGAGGCTTTGGATATAAGGAACAAACTTTGGTCGTACACAGCATCCCAAGCTCTACCCAGTGATTTTGAACATAAATAATAGTCATCAAAAATAAAGAAAACAAACAAAAGTAGATAAGGAGACAAAAAATTATCCAACAAAACCTCTAACTGACTAAGTCTGGCACCACACTCAAGGCTTCATGGTACCCTCATCAGAAAATGTGGATTCTTGGGGTGCCTGGGTGGCTCAGGTCATGATCCCAGGGTTCTGGGATCGAGCCCCTCATCAGGCTCTCTGCTCGGTGGAGAGCCTGCTTCCCCCTCCCCTCCCCTGCCTGCCTCTCTGCCTACTTGTGATCTCTGTCTGTCAAATAAACAAATACAATATTTTTTTTTTAAAGAAAGAAAATGTGGGTTCTTGCTCCATGGGCAACCAGAATTCTCATGGTTATGTCAGCATTCTTTTTTTTAAATCATTTTTTTAAATTTATTTGCAGCATAACAGTATTCATTGTTTTTGTACCACACCCAGTGCTCCATGCAATCTGTGCCCTCTCTAGTACCCACCATCTGGTTCCCCCAA